GAAAGGTTTTATAGGACAAAGAAGAGAACTTTGTTGGTGGTAAATTCCTATTGCAGCTCTTACTGTCCAGCTCCCAGCCCAAGTCTGAGTTGTAAATCCCAGTGGAAGTTGATACGTTGACTTTCTCATCAGGATCTTACAAGATCCTAGCTGCCAGCAGATGTTATCAGCTTGCCAGCTTTCCTCTCAGGAGTTTCTCAGCTCCCTGAGGCTTTTAGGCCATTAACCCATTACTTGATACTGTCAATGAGGCCAAGAACCTAAGGCTAGATGGGCCATGGACCCCTAGGGAAAACCTTGTAATATCATTCTGCTAAATGGTAATAGCAATAAATCAAGTCCTAATGTCATAATTGCTATGGACATAGGTCAGTGCATCACAGAAATGTTGTTTTTATTTCCTCAGATGAGAGCCTTACCCATGATTTAATATTACATGGCTTGGGCTGAGCCAAGAGCATTTCTATATAACTATCTCTAAGCATAGGCCTGGAGGCTACTAGCTTGTATACAATCTACTCTTCTCCTAGCTAATCTAATCTGGATGGCTTCATCATCCAGCCTCTGTCTACTAACCTAGGCCTATAATGTTTTCAACCTCCAAGACTTACTGCTGAATAAACTCATCAGTTCTTTCTGATCTCTGACTGGCTGGTTCAACTCAGATGTTATGGCTCAAGATGCCTCCACAAGCTGACTGATTCAAACTGGCTTCTCTCACCTTCTCACTGAATTGCTCTGCTTGCAAAACCTGTCTTTGAACTACCCTTGCCAGAGTAGCCATGTTGCTGGATTAAAATTCTTCTACACATCACTCAGCCATCATCAGAGAAGATACTTTTTGCAGTAGATTGCACTTAATATAGAAACCTATAGCTAGCTCGTCAACATATGGAGAAAAAGAGACTTCAGTATGTTCAGACTTAAATGGTTTATCTGCATCACTCAAGGCTCAGAGATTTAATAAGAAAAGGATCAGGAAAACTGGTGGATAACTTCAAGGAAACAGTATTTTCTAGACACAACAGGGCAGATTCACATATGAACTCACAAAGACTATGCCAACATACATAAGATCTGCTTGAGCTACAGCCAGACAAAATCCCAGCATGGAGGAGAAATAGACATAATATACTACCAGTAGCCAAGAAGCTGTTGTCCATCTATTATGCTAGAAAGAAGAAATATCAGTTTTCTTCAATGGAGTACAGTTGGTATATAAACCATACTCGGGGCATATCTAAGAGTAATCAACCAACACAAGGTGGATTCCATAGGTTTGGACTTTTTTGGGGGGTGGGGGGTGGGCATGAAATCAGTTTGGTAAGGAGGTCAGGGAAAATCTAGGAGGAGTTGGGGAAGATAAATGGATATTATCAAAACATACTGCGTGAAAATCTCAAGAAATAAAAATACTATTTAAAAATTTGAACACACAATGTCTTCAGCAGAATTTTTAATATTTTTGTGTTCATAGCTAGAAGGCACAATGTCACTTCCTGGTCCTCCGGCACTTTGAAGACAGCCCCCTCTTCTGCCATGCTTCCTGAGCCTTATGTGTAGGATTTATGTTACAGATACATCCACTGGAGATGGCCACCTCATGGCCTCTGAATTTTGTATATTTCTGTAATGGTCTCTGTTATAAAAAGAGGCTTTGTTGATGAGGAATAAGAGTTATACTTAGTTGTGGATATAGGGATTAGTATTTAGAATGCAGTTGGAAATTACACTAGTTTAGGAAAATGGCAAGAGTAAGTTTTCCTCTAGGGTCCATGACCTTATAGACTACAGATAGTTTCCTAGTTTTACAGTTGCCAGACATCATTTCCTTCCTATTGAATGGGCCTTAGATACAATTATCTAGAAGTTGGTTAGCCCCATGATATGAGTGCTACTATTTCACTCTTGGGAATATCTTGACATGCTGTTCATTGTTGTGGAGCCTTTAAAAATAGGTAGGTCCTTTAATTGCTCTTCTCCATTTTCATCTTTCATAGCACATTTCAATGCTATGAGAACTATTCTTCAAAAGAGGGGAAATAGGCACCACATGTAAATGAAGACCTGTAGACAATTAATGGCTAACAGAGGAAGAATTAGTCATCTCCGGGGACAATTTCCTCATAGGTTACCTCATCCCAAGTGATCATTACCAAATACACACACACACCCCTAAGTGGATGCAGCAGGTTGTATTTACATAATTAATGAGAGCATGAATTTGGGAGGAGTGGGGGGCGGGGCACTAGAGGTTGAAGGAGAGAGAAGGTAGAGAGGAAATGATGTAATTTGCCTCCTGCATCTGCTTTTCGCCTCACAGTACCCAGGCATTTTGTGCACTGGGGTGGACCTGACGGAGTGAAGCTTGGCTGGGGCAGGTGGGTTGGGCTGGAGCTTCGTCAGCAACATGATTGCAGGAGAGACGACTTTCTGCGGAGACAGTTTTCAGAGTAACAGCTCTTCTTCAGTGCAGGGGAACAAAGGCTATATAAGCCTTGGGGAGGAGGTAGGGTGTGGGGTGGAGGGTGGACAGCATTGTCTGGGACTGAGGTACTGGGAATGCGTGCTGGAAATGTCCTCATAAGAAGAGAGAACGTTTAACCTGAAACCTGGCCACAGGCCGCGTGACTACCTCCAGGGTGGCAGGGGTGGGGCTGGAAGGATATGGGCACCATTGCGTGCAGGCCAGCAACAGAGACAAAACAGTCCCACTCCTGCATGTCTCAGATGAGAATTTTGGAATTTGGACACCTCTTGACCTCACTCTTGTTACTGACTGGCTCCCCTAGTCACGTGGCTTTGTGGCCCCAAAGTAAATGAAGTACTCATGTATGAAAATTTAAAAATATAATACATTTTAAAAGTGAAAAAGGGAATACTTTTTTATGTGTAGCCTCAAATTCTCACAAACAACATTTGATACAAAATGACATATTAAATTTCCTTTTCATTTTCTTTACTATTATTACAAGGAGCAAAACCATACAAAGGTCCAGAGGCAGAAATTTGTGTTCTAAACACAGTCATCTCTATACTAAGATTTCTATCTAAACCATGTTGATAGAAACAGGTAGCTTCTGCCCAATAAAACAGATTTTGCCTTAATTATAAAAAGATGAAACAAGAAGCCAGGATGGCCTGGGAATTAGGTACTTTCTATCCCCAGTTGCAAATTCTCTAGTGTTATGCCCAGGCCTGTAGCAGAACACTGTCCCCCCTCTCTGCTTCCATTCCCTGGAAACTCTACCAAACCCTCAGCAGATTAACGTTTCTTCTTCCTGAAGACCCTCTCGCCTCACCTTCTAGCCCATTCTCATTCCTCTATGTCTGCCGCCAATACCTGGAGGCCCTCTCCCTGGGCACCCACTGACCACTCCAGGTTTGGAATCAGGTGGGTAATCCTCATGGCCCTTACTACCCTCTATTGTGGGTTGTCTAGTGTCACCCTCAGCCCTGTAGCAGGCCACTTGCAGACACTTCTTTTCCCACGTTACCCCATTTCCCAAGAACTCTGCCAAACCTTTCAGTGGTTCCCCCTTCCTGAGGACCTTCTCATCCCTCCCTTCTACCCATCTCCATTTCTTCCTGTCAGCGCTCAATAATTAGAAACATGATCAATGTAGGATACCCAGTGACCACAATTGCCAGGGAGTCAGAAGCACTTTCAACCAAGCAACCCACAGCCTCCACACATGGCTAACACCCAGAGAGGGCAACAGAAACTATGAAGTGGCATACTCACTCAATAAAGATAAGACTAGATGCCAACACTTAGAATCATAGTCATCCTAAACAGAGATGTCTATACTCCAGCACAAAAACAAAATCAATAAAACCCAAGATAACATGTCTCCATCAGAACCCAGCAACCTTACTTCAGTAGGCCCTGTGGTATGCAATACAGCTGATGCACAGGACAAGGACTTCAAAATAGCTGTTATGAATTTGTTCAAGAACATTAAAGAGAATATAAATCTCTATGAATAAACAAACACTGTTTTCCACAAACAAACAGTGGAAGAAAAGGATGAAAACCAAAAGTAGAAATGGAATCAATCTCCCTCTCTCTCTCTCTCTCTCTCTCTCTCTCTCTCTCTCTCACACACACACACACACACACACACTCCAACCTGAAATAATACTGAAAATGAAAAATTTAGTAAATTATACAGAAACCTCAGAGGTAAGCTTCACTCATAGAGTACAGATGAAAGAAAGACTCTCAGGCATTAAAGATAGAAAAAATAGATACCTCATTAAAGAAAATGTTAAGGGCTGAAGAGATGGCTCAGCTGTTAAGAGCAAGGTCTGCTCTTAACAGAGGTCCTGAGTTCAATTCCCAGCAACCACATGGTGGCTTACAACTATCTATACCCTCTACTGCCCTCTTCTGGCATGCAGGTGTACATGCAGATAGAGCACTTATAAACACTAAAAAAAAAATGAAGAAAATGTTAAATCTAACCCCCCCACACACAATCCAGAACAAAAATTCTAGACATTACAAAAAGATAAAATCTATAAATAATAGGAATAGAGGAAGGAGAAGAAACCAAGGTAAACTACACAGAAAATATTTTCAACCAAATCTTGGAAAAAAATTGTCCTAACCCAAAAAAGGAGATGCCTTTTAAAGTATGAGAAACATATAGAACACCAAATAATAATGGAAAAGAAATTAAATTCATCACAGCACATAATAATAAAAATACTAAATGTACAGGACAAAGAAAAATTTAAATCTGCAAGAGGATTTAAAGATCAAGTAAATTATAATTGTAGACCAATTAGAATAGCAACCGACTCTAAAGGTGAAGACTCTAAAGGCCAAAGGATCTGGGCAGATGTTCTCCAAACTCCAAGAAACCATGGCTATCGGCCCATACAGCTGTACCTAGCAAAACATTCAATCACAATAGATAGAGAAAGGCATTCCATAATGAAACCAAACTTAAGCAGTATCTATCTACAAATTCAGCCCTACAGAAGGTACTAGGTTAACTTGAAGAAGTTAACCACCCTAGAAAACACAAGAAAAAAAACATCAGATTATTCCGTCAAAAGAAGGGATTAAAAAATCAACCAACACCACCACAACAAAATAATGGAAATCAACAAACATTGATAACTCTCAACATCAATGGTCTCAATTTCCCAATAATGAACACTAACAAAACAGATTAAACAACAGTTATCTATCCTGCTTCATCCAAAAAACACATCTTTTCGTAAAGATTAGATATCACCTCAGAGTAAAAGAAAGGAAAATGATATTCCAAGCAAATGTACCTAAGAAGCAAGATGATGTAGCTATTTTACTATCTGATAAAATAGACTTCAAACCAAAACTAATCAGAAGAAACTGTTGGGGGTTGGTCTGGTACTATGTATTCAAACACTGATTCAGTGCCTTGATATCTGGTTACCACCCTGCCACAGGCTTGTTATGAATGTTGAACTATCTCCTGTACCCATGTGATGAGAAGGAATGTCCCCCCCCCCC